TATCTGGACATTGCTTGGTGGCGATTTATATCGAGGGCAGAACAAAAGACTGGTTTGGCCGAAGGAAGATTCGGGCATCTGAGAGAATAATTTGTTAATCGGAGCTTTCCGATTGGTCCATCTGCGGCGACATACGAAAGGCATGTTAAGGAACGGAATGAGAGCACTTGCCAATCAGTCGCGCCTCGCGCCTCTGCGACTGGCTGTCTCGACCTTGATGTCACCCGCCAATCATGCCGCAGGGCTGAGGCCTTCAGACTAGCTGTCCACGAATGCTCGTGTTCAGCTGCGTGGCTTGCCTGAATTCTCGTAAAAATACTTTACCTTGCAGGAGCTTGTTCAAGCGCCTAAGAATGAAAGTTGGCTGCTCGGCAACAGTCGGGTGAAGGACCCTAAACACGCACGACCAGCTGAAGGTGCCTGCCTTACAAAAAAGTTGGTAAGAGGGGTTTTGCGTGCGGGGCCTATGTATGCATAAAGGAATGGCAAAATAAGTATGGATAATTGATAAATTGGTTTTTCGGGCGGAAAAGTTTTAATGCATTGACATATAGTAACCGAAATAAGGCAGAACAATTAAAAAAAGTAAACATTAAGTGCCCACAACGATCGCTTCTCAACTCTCTGAGCTGAGCTCATAATAGATAATGCCCCAGATCGTCTACAACAGACGACCCATCCTTGTACGCTGAAACACCAACCCGAAGTGATCGCGTCGGACTAAAACCCACTTAAATAGGTATAGTTGGTATTTTTTGCATGTCACAGATGCTTGGGGTCCTTCACTCGATCCTTACCGGCTGTTCAGCTTTGTTTCTCGGAGCGTGAAGGCTCTGAAACTAGGGAACAGACAGACAACCGCAGACCGTAAAGCAACTAATGAGTGGAGTGAGAGGCGAATTAACGCGAATGGAAGATAGTGGTTCTTGCCAATACAAGGGAAGAGACGAGTCCCAGGAAGCAGTCTTGAAGAAGGAGACACGATCGCTGGGACAAGAAGTTTATTAGCCTGACGTTTCGGATTCCTGCTCGAACCCATCATCAGAGAAGGAATTGGAAACGTCAGGCTAATAAAGCTCTTGTCCCAGCGATCGTGTCTCCTTCTTCAAGATAATACTCCTTTTGAGTCTATTCAGTTTTGTTCTCACAGACGGGACACGAGGCACTACGTGAACACAGTGTGAGGTGTAAGTAACTCCTGATAGAACGTCGTTCCTGGTAGTGTAGTTGTTTCTTTAGCTAACAACGGAGACCAGCTACTCCGTTTGTCTTTAGAAAGAATACCCAGTTTATAGATAGAAGGACCGGCAATAAAGTATCGACCTAAAGTTCGGCAATTCTGGCCGTTCAGTTGTACTTGTGCGTGAAAGTACTTGTCTCAGTTTTCGGCCGTGGTCGTGTCTCATGACTTAGGAGCACAGGAATAGTGGTGGTGCCGCTGTTGCGTTAAACCCCTTTCTTCCTTCGAAGCATCTTTACCGGGTTTAATCGCGTATTCTGTTGCTCTGTGACTTTTCTTTGGGGAGATCCGTGGGTCCAACTGAGGGAGACTGGAATGGCCATTTCTGGCTAACTAGCCGTCGTCCGCCAGTCATACCCAATCCCAAAGTGTGAAACACCTGGGGCTCGATCTCACGATCTGTTGCTTAGAAGTCCAACGCCCCTAACCACTGAGCCATGGGCTCGTCGTCCTGTTGGTTCCGATCGGGAATGTACCTTGGTAGAGAAGCGCTCACCGATCGTTCTCACGGGATTCACTCGTCCCATTGTGCCTTACGGGCTCTAACTCGGACCCCGGATTTCCACACTTCGGGGTTGAGTATGATTGGGTGACGACGGCTAATAAGCCAGCAATGGCCATTCCAGTCTCCCTTGTTTTTGTCGGTAATAACATTCCGCCTATATCATGTGCCGCTGTACGGCTGCTGGTTGGGCTCGAGAGAGAGCCCTTAAGGCACAACGGGACGAGTGAGTTCCGTAAGAACGATCAGTGAGCACCTCTCTACCATTTTGCTCGGACTATTTCTGTGGAGACCGTGTGCACTATCCCCAGTGACTTAATGGAAAACGTACCAGCACTGTTATTTTTTCAGTAAAAGAACCCCGAGGGGCTGGGACTTTTGTGCTGAATTTTGCAGTTCATGTAGCCTTGATCGATACGTGCTAAACATGATTACTAATTAAAAGATTACTATGACGGAGTTCAAGTATCACATTCTGAAATGCAGTCTCCGATAACGCCACGCACCCAGGGCATGCTAGCATTTTATAATTTAGTAATTTCCTGAAGATTACCATCCTCTTTATATGTTCTCCCGGTTATGAAACTACTCGGTTCGTCTGTTTCCTGGGGATCTTCTGGGAAATTTAGAGGGTTTGATATGACTGGGCACACTGAATGTCGTGGAAGAGGGCACAACAGACCATGCAATCGTCAGCGTTTACTAAGGGGGGATTTTGAATATTTAATATTGACACAACTGGGAAAATTTGCCAAAATACCTATGAATTACGTGAGCCTGGTAGTCATCTGGTGGATTCTAGGTGAATTACTTAGGAAATCCTGCTTGGGCAGTCACCTTACTGTATCAGATTTGGTGGATTCCAGACGTTGCAGTTGGTTGGGTGGGTAAATTGACCCAAATGTGATTAGACACGCGTCGTCCGGCGGGGCCTCGTACCTCAAGTGATTAGATCGTTGGCTGTACTAAAGCCTTCCACTTGCTGCGTGGGTTCGAATCCCACCGAGGTGCCGAGTTTTTCACAGTTGGGCCAATATGAATCATGAGTTTCTAATCATGAGATTTTTAAGACTGTGAAATGCCTGTGTCTCTGAATTTACTAATTTTGCTTGTAAAGTTAACAATATGGCTCAAATCCACTGCTAAATTTTATGAAACCCATATAGTCTTCTGTTAATACCGTAGAGGAATGTATGGTTTTCCGTACGCGGAAAATATACGGTTGTATTTTGGAACCCTGACTACAAATGCAACGGCGGGTCGGGTTCAAAATCATTCGGGAATTCTGAAAGCTTTTGAAAACCGTATTATATCCTTCTTTCGAGTATAAGACTGGGAGACGTATGTTTCTGCCGAATGAGTAAAAGAAGGAATATTTTTATGCATGTTTTCCAAGAAATGTAATTGAATTTTTAAAGGCTTCGAAAATTAATGAGAAAAAATCATATGGTTTTGGCCTGCGGCCGGAGAGATATTCGTTCTAAAGCTGGCATCTCGAGGTAACTAAATTATTATAGAACGATAATTAATTTTAAAACCCTACTTAAGTAGCCTTTTCGAAACGAAAACGCATTTCAGAATTGCGGTTAACATTTCATGAGTTAGCACACCTACTGTACATCGCGACCTGCCAGTGTGTATTATGCATCCTTGCTGTCATCAGGCCCTCCCCTCTTTGGCACCAAAACTCCTCTTCGCCGTACTTCTCCCACCCCGCCCCATCTCGGGGCTCCCCCTCCCCCAACCTCAGCGCAAACGCTTACATCCCGGCATCCACACTGGGGGGTACTTCTGCGTGTCCAAAATGAAGGCCGCTACTGGTGATCGTATCCCCTCAACACCTCAGCAGGACGTCCCCGGTGGGAACGGAATGTCTGTTTTCGTGAAAAAGAAACTCTGCGGGCGAATAACTATTCCCGGCGGTCGGGCTTTTGGGGCCTAGATGCTGCCAAGCGGGACTAAACGCGCCGGGTAGCGACAGGGGACTAACGCAGCAGTGTGAAAGGATGGAAAGTCTTGGCCGTGATCATTGGACGTTGCACCCAGCACATCCTCACATCCTCCCTCCCCCAAGGGGATGAATTTCGTCCACGACAGGAACGGGGACGATGGAGGAACTAATCTAAAAGGCGATCCTATCCTCTCAGTGAAACCCTTGTTTCCAGTTGTATTCGCCGTCTCCACTTCAATGCCCACTTTGCGACAGTGAATTCCATAAAAGCATGCGCAAAAATACGTCACTGCGGTTCGAATGGTCAGCAGACAATCATGAGCGCAGTTCCAAGTTGAACGTTAATCAACGCTGTTCCGCGATTAAAGGGTAGAGGGGGGGGTGAGATGGAAAGTAGTGTTGTTCGTCTGTCACGTGACGAGCTCGCCGAAGGGGGCGAATTGACTCATCGTGGCCGAACGCGGCCAGGCCTGCAGCGGTGGTTTAATCGCTTCAGGATGCTCGTAAACACTGTAGGTAAACTTTAAGTGCAATCACACTTCCGCAGTTGGAGCAAAAATAATGGACAGTCCTGTCGAGCAGCTACCTGCACTCTGACATCAGAGATGGTTTGTCCTTTTTCCTTCGGTTATACAAGGTGAAATTTTTAAATCAGGGTGGCCAAGGCGAGCTGTGGTTGAAAACTTAGGAAATGTATGGTTCACCCCCATCCACTGAAGCGTGCAGAAATTTGCTCGACTGTTTTATTTGTGAATCTAACCCATCACAATTGAACCACACGTGTGTGATGCCGTTTGACCCGATAATGACGCCCAAAGTTTCTTGAAGTGATTGAAATATACAGGCTCACTACTGCTTTTCCCAGTATGCGTCATTTGAAAATGGGTCAGATGTGGTTATGTAGGCCCACCTGAAGTAACCAAACCACAGCCACCTGTACTACGGGACCGGTGGTAATAGGGGGTTTTTACAGGTGGGGCCGAGGAACGCACAGGCGACGAGGTCAAGTAATTGTATGCAAAAGAAAAGCTATTGGGGATGTGCGGTTGTACTTTGAGTGATTGAGGAATAGTTGCCATAACCCCTAACTCTAACCCCTATCCCTAATCCTGACCCCCAACAATAACCTCTAACTCTATCCCCTAAGCCCAACTTCTGACCCCAACCCCTAACCTTAAAGCCTAACTGCAACCCCAACGGTATTGTTTCCATCAGGTCTGCCAATCTATATTTGAATCATGGTGTCCGTCAAGACGCGTAACGTGAAGTTTGTACTAGAAGTCATTGCTGCAAGATCAGTAAGTTAGGCATTGAATCCAGGGTTACCTGGACGTGTTTTTAGGTCATGGTTGGCTGATGAAGGCTAATAAGTCAGAAGTGTTCATTCCAGTTTCTCTGTTCCAGCTGACATGCCTGAGACCGTCTGCGAGTGCTCGCAGTTTGGACTCTATAACAGATCCAAATTGATGTGTGCGTCCTACCACCAAATCGTCACTTCGTTACTTTCCAGCTAACTGAAATCTTACCAAATTTAATATGAAACATTTATGCATAGTCTGACAACTGTACAATGCGCCTATTAGTATTTAATATTTGGTGTTAACACTCGGAATACTTCGTTTATATGTACATGTTCGATAATTCTTCTGTAGCTGTTTGATGTTTCGTTTTCCAAATTTTTGATATGCTTCCCTTGCTTGTAACAAATGGGGAGTTTAATGATGCAACACCTATTTTTGTCTTAAATAAACTGGAATGAACTAAACTGAACGAAACAAGCCACAGGTCTTTGATCAGGACAGCGGCAGTTGGATGCAATACTTGTTTTTTTCATCTGTAGTTGGAATGGCAACGCCGCCATCTATGTTCTATTCTCGTATATTTCACAGACTTTACAACGAAGGTTGATTCCACTCTTCTGCATTCCACGGCGTTACTCCTACATAACAGCAAGTCATATCCCAGCTCGGTTCGAAGTTTGAGAAAAAGAGTGGGAAGGGCGCTTTCTCTTATGCCATTGGCGGTATCTATTTGAATAGTGTCTCCTCGTTAACACCGGCCTACTTTGCTTGTCCAGGCAATCCGGCTTTCCGACGAAGTTCAAAAGGGCAGTATAAAAAGGGTTGTAAAACGCCCGGGCAGGCAGTTCCGACGCAGATTTAGGTCATCTTTCTTCTATTTTTAGAACCTAACTGGACTGAGGACGCCGTGATTCAGTCTGCTTTCCTGACAAACAGTCAGTTTTCTTCACAAGTTGGAGGTGAGTTGTTAAAACTGACTTGGAGCTGTAGACTGTCTGGGTTCTAGGCAGAATGACATTAACGACAAAGACAAGGAAGACTTTGTCTTTGTCAGTAATGCCATTCTGCTGTATCATGCGCCGCTGTGCAGCTGCTGGTTGGGCTCGGGATAGAGTCTGTAAGGCGCGACGGAACGATTGAGTTCTATAAGAACGATCGGTGAGCACCCCATAACATTGCCTGGTTTCTGTCATGATATCATGTAAACATGCATGAAGTCGAAGTCGGCAAAGACACCTTTGCGATGACTTACAGCAGGTGGGCTAACTCATGAAATCTCAGCAGAAATTCCGAAATGCGTTTCCGTGTCGACAAGATTAATTAAGTAGGGTTGTAAAACCGATCATTGGGCAACATAATTCTATAATAATTCAGTTAACCCAAGACGCCGGCTTTCGAACAAACTTGCATTCGGCTGCATGCAAGATCTATACTCTGCAAAAAATGACTAATTAAAAAACAAGCATTTTCTTATTGATTTTCGATGGCCTTAAAGATTCGCTTAATGCGTTTTGGATTAGGAAGGATTACTTGGGCGCAGATGTAATGCTGATTATCTTGCGGCATAATTCTATAATATTTCGGACTTGACAGGATGTCAGCTTTTGAATGCACAGTTTTTCAAAGCCCTGTAGAAAATGTACTCGGTAAAAAATGACTACTTAAGTACCATGCATTTATCCCACTGATTTTCGATGGTCTTACAAATTCAAATATGTTTTATAGAAACGACGAACAAAAGTACGCTTTCTTTCAGTCATTTGATAGAGAATCACGTCTTTTTATATTTTGTACTCGAAAAAGGGGTTCAATTAGGTTTAAAAAGTTTCTAGTAATGAGGTTTTTGAAGACCGCGCAATGTTCATACATATAGCATCGTACCTGTAAGTTTACAGCTGCTCCTCATAAAATGTACAATGTAGTCCGCGTCCCTTACGAAATTTTATGGACGCCGTATGATATCTGCTTAAGGGCATAGAAGAATATGTAATTTTCTTTACGCGGAACGCATACACTTTCTGGACTAAATTCAAGAAGCGCTAGTGCAACGACTGATCAGGCTCCAAATTATTCGGCATTTAGAAACTTTCTTAAAACTTAATTATACTTTTTTTCGAGTATAAAATATAAGGAGGACGTGATTCTCTATCAAACGACTGAAAGAAAGCGTACTTTTGTTCGTCGTTTCTATAAAACATATTTGAATTTGTAAGACCATCGAAAATCTGTGGGGCAAATTCATGCCACTTAAGTAGTCATTTTTTAGCGAGTACGGTTTCTACAGGGCTTTGAAAAACTGTGCATTCAAAAGCTGACATCCTGTCAAGTCCGAAATATTATAGAATTATGCCGCCAGATAATCAGCATTACATCTGCGCCCAAGTAATCCTTCCTAATCGAAAACGCATTTCGGAAATTCAGCCAACATTTCATGAGATCGGTCACTCACTGTACGTGAACCGCTCCTTGCTGACGGGCAGGATGAAGTTGTCCCTTGCCTTTCTCTAGTGCAATCTGATCCTGACTGCGTCGAAGTAACCAACTGCTGGGCTATCGCAGACCTTCAGCAAGTCTGAAGCCTATATAATTGGCTCAAAAAAGACCAGACGTCTTAACAATCTGCCGATTAGGACTATTTGAAACTTGATCTTCCGAGATAGAGCTGCCTTGTAACATGAGAATTGCTAAACAAACCTCCTGAAAGCTGCAGCATGTCTGGGTGGACGACATTTTCAAAAGGATTATAAAACATTGGAGCTGTGCGCATATTAAAAGCTGCCATATGCTCCCAGTTCAGATATACTAAAAATCCCTCGACCACATTAGTATCCAAGGCAACAATCTGATGTAAGTTTGAAGAAGAATTAGCTACCACCGAGCTAACCTACAGTAGCTAGGCATAGAAATATTCGTTCTTCTGCCTGTTCTGTAGGAAATTACGTCTTCTTTCAATATTATACTTGAAGGAAGGGTATAATTCGGATTTAAAAAGTTTCTAATTATGAGATTTTTTAATAACGTGAAATGACCGTTCATAAAACGTCATGTTTCTGCATTTACGAATGTGGCTTGTAAAGTTAGCAATATGGCTAAAATCCACTGCTACATTTTATGAAACGCATATGGCCTCCTCTTAATACCGTAGAGAAATGTATAGCATTCGGTACGCAGAAAGTACGCGGCCTGTAGTTTGTAAACCCTGAATGCAAGTGTAACGGCAGATCGGGTTCAAAATTATTCTGGAAGTGGAAAAGTTTTTGAAAACCGAATTTAACCCTTCGTTCGAGAATAAAGTTGAAAGAAGGTGTATTTTCCCACCGAATAAGCAGAATAATGAATATTTTTATGCGTGTTCTCTATGAAATATAATTGAATTTTCAAAGGCATCGAAAATCAATAAAAAAATGTATGCTTACTAAGTAGTCATGCATGCAGCCGAAAAGAAGTTATTTCGATAGCCGGCATCCTGAGGTAACCGAATTTTTATAGAATGACGCTGCACGGTGATATGCATTACAACCCTACTTAATTAATCTTTTCAAAACGAAAACGCATTTCAAAATTCCTGTTGACTTTGCATGAGTTAGCCCACCTACTGCATATGTGCTGCTGGGAATTATAAGATGTGCTTGCTGGGGTCATCATAATGCTCTAGCCCGACTGGGGTTCCGTTTTCCCCTGCTAGACAAAGGGGCTGGACAATTTTTTCTGTTAATCTACGTGTAGCTAAACAGAACTGCACACAATCGGCACAACTACCTCTCTGCTGTTGCCAATTTTTGGCAGAAAAGCATCAAAATGTGGGGATATTATGAGTGGGGCATGGGACGGGCGGGATAAGTCAAACCGCGTGATTGCGACATAACGCGTGCTCATTTAACTGCTGGAGGGGGGAGAATGTGTGCAATTTCATGTGCAAGCAGGGGGTGATTCGTGAGCGTTGCGAACTGCAAAGCCTAGGTGCTGGTACGACACCATTCTGACTTATACGTACATAATTACCGCCTTGGGGGGGGGAGGGGTTGGTAGTCGCCTTCTACGGGTTTTTGTCGGTTTCGGGGTACTCTGGGATCGAGGGCGTTCAACGAGTGCGTGTTAGGTGATCTGTGCTCCATTGCCGCAGTTCCTGTAAAACCTCCTCGTCCGTATGGCCAATTTCCTCTTGCCATTCACGGCTATGCGTGTGCTCTGCCACTAGAGGTGGAGAAACGAGTCTCGGAAAGCAGTGCTGAAGACGGAGACATGTTCGCTGGAACAAGAAGTTTTTTCGATGACGTCTCGGATTCCTACCCGAACCCACCATCGGAGACAATGACAGATAAGGGTATTCCATGCACAAGGAGATGCAGTCGCCATGCTATTGCATACCTATGAACATTCACGGCCCCCTTCATCGGGGATTGTTGTACTTGGTGCGATGAGTCTTCGATGGCCGACACTCGAATGATTAATTAATGCATGTGTTGGATGTTGGTGTGACGAATACTCGACCATCTGACACACCGACCCTGGTGTTGGGAAAATGTATTCACCTGTGCGCTCCCCGCGTGACTAATTGCTCCGCCTAGGCAAAGTCTCAGCACCTAGTATGGAAGGGGGATGTCATTGCACTTGTTACTGGACTGGGGCCCAGTAAACCATGATTTAATTATCTCCCGGCTCACGCGATTGTCACCGCTTACAAGAATTTCGGCCTCGTCAAATTCGAATGTGCAGCCGGATCTGGTCGAATGAGCCGCACCTTGAGAGCTGGCGTCATTTCTCCGCACTGCCGCCGTGTGTTCGTCCTTTCGCGTTAGGAGAAGTCTTCGGGTCCCTCTGACGTAGTTGCTTTATCCGCAAATGCTCCAGATCCGATAAACGACTCCAGACATCTCCTGTCGGGGCAGCAGGTCTTTAGGTTTCATTGCCTAACGCCTGATGGATGTCTCCGGTTTGTGTGCAACTCCTGCCCCAAGTGGCGCGAGAAGGCTGCCGACCGCTGCCACGTAGTCCGCTCAGACAGCCCTTCGAGGACATTTTATCCGATTCCACTGTTAGGGCCTTATTACAATCTCCCTTGAATTTTCACAGGAGACATTGGCTCATTGTGATTATTCGGGTCCTCTTCTGACCAGGCTCCTTGTGAGATGCTGCGGCCATTCAGCTTGACGCACGATGACTGTTGTTTTCGCGGGTGGCTCTTTTGTGTCCTGAACATTCTACATGTAATATGATGCTTGTGTCAGCATCGCCTTGCATCCTGAAGGAAACGCGTATGGGCGGCAACCCAGCGAGCGGCGTTAGAATCATACGCACGTAATCTGCTACGCATATTCTGCAGAACTTTGCAGCTTTCTAGAATAGGCTACTGCCCCACAGCCGTCGCCTTCTACCCCTGCTTCCGCACCAACAGCAGGTTGGCCTTGTCGCGTGTGGCACATGTTTTTGACAAAGGAAGGATTTCTCTGTCGTGACCTCTCTCCGAGTGAGTCCACTGCAGATGATGCGAACCGTCTGTAGTAAGTCAGTTCTCCCATGTTCTGTCCTCCATCAGAAACGTGGAAACGCTGCCGACGTTGCCATTCCTCAGCAAGACCAATCGAAGCATGGGTGTTCGGCGGGGAAGCCTGTATCCTGGACAGCTGGCTCGGTATCCTGAGATGAATAGCTTTACTCACTGAGGCATAGTAGGTTGTTTTTGTGACAGCGTTCTCGGACGACCCACCGATCGACAAGATGACCAGATACGTCGTCGTCCAAAAGCAGTTGTTTGTATTGGTTGAATAATGGGTAGACTTTGATTTTCAGTCATTAGAGTCTCTCAGGACGAGCACTGTCGTCATTCTTTCCGGTATACTACTTTGAATTCAGAGTACTCTTCCGGTAGCAATTAAATTCCTGTCCGCCTAACCGGATTAGTAGTTGTGCTCACCCACTTTTGGTGACTTATCTCTAATAGATTAATAAGCATACTTTCTTAGGTCTGCTGTAGTGAATTTTAGTCTGTCACAGCATCTATTCCCTCCTCCTTCTCCTCCTCCTCCTCCTCCTCCTCCTCCTCCTCCTCCTCCTCCTCCTCCTCCTCCTCCCCCCCCACCACCACCACCACCACCACCACCACCACCACCACCACCACCACCACCACCACCACCACCACCACCACCACCACCACCACCACCACCACCTTCTCTTTTTCATCTTCCTCTTCTTCCCCTCCACCATATTGATCTGTCTGCCCACTTTAGTTAGAAGCGTATGATCTCTCAAATTCTCTCACTCAGCATTCCTTCCCACACATCTTGCTTTTTAGATTGACAGACGTTGAAGGTCCACTAATTTTCTTGGGCTCGGCCACTGCCTTCTGAATGTGTGCGAAGTTACTTGATAGGTTTTCGGGTGCAAATTTATTGGCAAAGCCCATTTTCGTCTGTAATCACTAGCAGTCTAGAAAGACAGATTATGAACCCCATATGGTATCTTTTCAAAAACATAGTGGAAAACCCTTACCACTGAACGTGTCGGCGAGTTCACATGGAGTCATTCCTGCCATCCTCGGCAATTCTTAATTATGGATTGATATCTCACTGAAGACAGTTGACGGGGATGCCGAACCGTGGACCCAAGAAAACAGGAGAGAGGTGACCTCATAGAAACGCTTTAGTTGTTAAGAGGACTTGATCGGGTTGCCGACTGAGAAAGTCTTTTTTTGACGTGACGCTGTTGTAAATTGTAATGTTCTCACGAACTAACGAGTTATGTCTCACGAGCCCCTAGCCTTAAATGCAGCAATTAAATCGAAACAGTGAATAATATAGAGATTTTGGAACGTTAAGAAAACTGACAACAGAATACCACAGCAGAGCACGCTAGCAAGGCGGGTTGTACAGGTGTGTCGTATCTCGTCACATTCAAACAAGCAATGCGGTCAAAGGAAATGGGACTAAATTGTCAAAGGTAAATTAGTCAGGTACCTCACCACAGTACCCCCCTTCTAGACCGGAGGGTGACGGGATACGGCGCCGGAGGATATGCACAAGTCTAGAAAAAATGGGTAACTAAACGATCGGGAAAATGAACGTGACGGCCACTGCGAGTTACGTATGCAGGAGGTACAGTCGAAGAGGGTTGACTGTGTGCTGTGGTGGACGATGGTGTTGCAGTTGGATGCTGTTGACATGTAGGGAGAGGAAGTATGCGGGACGGAGGGGTAGAGGGCAAGGGAGGGGAAGGGCAAGGCAGTGGGCAGGGTGAACGAGTAGGGGATAGGGAAGAAGGAGGAACAGGGGTTTGGGGGTCAGCACATGTTTGTCCTTGTGACAGGTCCGGCGGCCCCTCCGCAACAGCAGCCTTGACCCGATCGACACTGACCACGTCCTCCTTGTAACTGCGAAGAATCCGGAAGGTCTTGGTGTTGCGCGCGAGCACGCGGAACGGTCCTTCATATGGTGATTCCAGCGGCTGGCGCACACGGTCACACCGGACGAACACATGAGTACACTTGTCCAAGTCTTTTTCGACATAAGAC